GAGCCCACCTGATATACCAAACAGCCCACCTGAGAGTGACCCTGCAGAGCCCACCATAGACTCTCTATAGTGGGCTCTGCAGGGTCTCAGATGGGCTGCACGCCTCTTACTTGTCAGCGCTGTCCGCCTCCGTGGTCGCCGGGCCCCGCCTCCTCTTCTATCAACAGGCCCCACCTCCTCTTCTATCAACGGGCACCACCTCCTCTTACATCACTGGCCCCACCTGCTCTTAGGTCGCTGGCCAGTGATGTAAGAGGAGGCGGGGTTGCTCTTAGGCGGGCCCCCGCCTCCTCCTTCACTGCGAACGCCGGCCTCTTCTGTCGCAGCTGCTGGCTGTCACTGACACAGCTCCGCAGCGCCTGCTAGGGGAATGATCCCCCTCACAGCCGCTGCTGAGCTGTGTCAGTGACAGCCAGCACCCCGATATGCCATAGCGGCCCACACGGCATCAAAGGGATGCCCTGGCCGGGCCCCCCTGTGCCCGTGCCCCATAGCGGCAGTCTGGGTCGCTATGGCGATTGTTACGCTACTGTCTGAAATGCACTGGAACTGCGGGCAGGTTCGCACCAGATCTGGTCCGGAAAATGGTGTGAACCTGCCCTAAAGCTGATTTGATTGGGCGACCAAACTTTCAGTTCCATTTTTGATTAAAATTACAAAGCAGTGAAAGACATAACATTGGGGTTTTGATCGACCTCAGTGAGATGGGAGCGGAACGGCCCTCATCTAATATGGTAGAGCAATCTGATCACTTTCAATGAAATTGCCTCAATTTTTGTCCCAATCTGATTCCAATTCAGATCAATCGTTCAATAAACTGTATTGAAGATGTCAATGTCTCGCCAAGTTTTGACTTCTCGTCCAGTCAAATTTAGGCGGCCAATCTAACTTGTGGGTGGTAGGTCGCATAGGTTCTAGTGATTACTTGCGTTTGTGTTGACTGTTCCCAGGTGCTTGAAAGTGGTTGAAAATTGGCGTGCCCATGGCCAGCTTAATGCCGCAGTTTTCGAGAAATCTCAACCAGCTTTGAAAACCAATAAAGAACCCAATTTATTGGTTAAAATTGCCTGAAAATTGCAGTGAATATGACCATCGTTACAGGCCGAATATCTCTATTCTAGATCTAACTGTTGCTGGGGCTTAGATCTGGTTTGTGTTTTGGGTTTTTTGGTCAATTCCAATATTCGGATGAGGTAATACGAGTATATTTGTATTGGGGAAGTTGTGAATTGAATAGGCCAAGATTCAATGGTTCTGAGATGACCATAAGCCTTTTATGAGTTGATGAAAAATGTTTTTTTTTTTCATGTTTTTAGATAATAAATAGTCAGTTCTGGTTGAAGAACACCATCTGCGGCAGAAATGGAGATCAGCTGGGATAACGGTGGTCCTTGAGGTTTATCTGATTATAGGAATGTATGATCCTGAGGTTCATCTGACATAAGGAATTTATCATCTTGAGGTTCATCTGACATAAGGAATTTATCATCTTGAGGTTCATCTGACATAGGAATGTATGATCTTGAGGTTTATCTGATATAGGCATGTATCATCTTGAGGTTAAGTAGATAAGTGTTTATTGGGATGTATAAAGAACACGGTTTCCTAAAGTAAAGTGTACATATCCTCCCCTGTAGTGGGCTCCTGGCAGGTCTCAGGATTCATATGTTGAATGTAGAAAAGGTCACTCGCACTCCAGATTAATTTTCAGTCAGTGTTTGTTGACCTCTCATCGTGTCACATTGTCAAGCGACGTTTCGGAAAACCACGTAGTTCCGTCCTCAGGCAAGCAACAAGTGAGCCAAACCCTCTTTGCACCCACCCAGCTCCAAAGGGTTTCCATTCGGTCAGGAGTGCCATGTGTTCCGTTTGAATATTGAACCGAGGATTCATATGTCGGACGCATTCGTGTAAGTATCTACTCATTGTAGCGTCAGCTACCTGTGGCTGATGCTAAATGGAGCATGGTCGTTTTACCACAAACTAAACCAAGCGCTGACGCAGAGGGCAAATGCCTTCCTACCCCCAGCCCATTCCTCCCCTGTTTGTAAGCAGTTGCAAAGAATATTGTTTGGAAGGAAGCAACTGATAAATCCTCTTTATACAGTTTTGAGCTGGATATACGCCTCATATGCGGTCAGGAGGGCGATGGGTACATGGACTGTAATCTCTTTGCACCTGCTGGGCTCATACACCAATGACCCAATTTAATGGATATACGCATGCCGTTAAATTGGGTCATTGGTGTATGAGCCCAGCAGGTGCAAAGAGATTACAGTCCATGTACCCATCGCACTCCTGACTGCATATACATTAGAATAACATGGGTGCTCGGTAGTCGACGGATGGCCACCGTCACAGTGATGCAAAAGAATATGGCCACCGGCACTCCGATAGCAGACATAATACGTCTATTTATTGACGTACATGCAAAAAGGTAGCATATCACACTTAGTGCGACGTTTCGGGTTCACACAGGATCCCCTTCATCAGGCAAAACAAGTATATTCTTTTGCAGCAAGTGCAAGGAACACAAATCATCAAAGCAATGGCCCCACACACACAAGTGACTACCGCGTTTCCCCGAAAATAAGACCTAGTACTATTTTTGGGAATTGATAAAATATAAGACCTACCCCGGAAATAAGACCTAGTTGTGACCATTCCCAGGGCCGGTGGTGTCATAAGGGGGAACTTGAAGAGCCACGGGAGAGAATCAGCGGTGCCAACGAAGTCAGGTGGCAGCGGAGGGAGCCGAGCCGCATAAGCCGATGACTCCTCTATAGCGCCGGCTCCTGTCACAGGCGGAGTGATACCAAATGCGCCCCGCCTGTGAGGAATCGATAGCGAAAGCGCGCTTCGCTCATTCTGGTTACCAAATTGCTCTTGCAAAGGTACGGCACCCCTGATTGCCCTGATCACCCTATTCGTAACTTTGCCATTTTGGATTATTTAATTGGGATCTGGATTTGCATTAACTTTGGATTGTTGTACATTAAAGGAGAATTATGAGGCGAGTGATTTTCACTCAGCCTTATAATCTGAGCCGACCTGTGACAATGAAACTGACGCAGGTCGGCTCAGTAGATCGGGAAGTGAGCGAACACATACCGGCGCTCGCTCACTTCTCGATCTATCTCTGCAGAGAGCCATGGCTGTCACTCACGGCTCCCTGCAGGGATTCCCCACCTCCCCTGTCTGATCCTCCAGCGCTGACTGGCGGAACGGACGGGGGAGGGGGCGGGTACAGCTGGCTCTGCTTCCAGATAGGCAGAGCCAGCTGTCACTCACGCAGCTGGGTGGATCCAGACTGAATTGTCTGGATCCGTTCCGGCTGTGACGTCTCAGTATACCGCGAACTGTAGCTCGCGGTTTACTGAGCTTTGGGTGACAGGAGGACGTAGTTTGTGTCCTCCCGTTACCCTTAGGAGGACTATGGGGAAAAGCCCTAACCCATAGTTCTTCTTTAACAAAAACAATAAGACCTACCTTGAAAATAGGACCTAGTGTGTTTTTTTGAGCCAAAAAAAATATAAGAACGTGTCTTATTTTCGGGGAAACACGGTAGTAGAGTGGTAGCCTCCTGTCTAGACAGGTTAAATTGTAGCAGGCAGCATTCTCTGGACATCAATTTACCCAACTGACGTGATAATAAACTGGACTGCAGTGGCCTTGAAGGCATGGGGTGGGTAAACCTATAAGCAGGTCACTTAGACTTATACTGTTACGGAACAATCATGGAATACAATTTGTGGATATGGTTGATGTAATTTGGTGCCACTTTTTTTTCCCCTTTCCATTTCTTTTGTTTCTTTCCGGTAAAATTCTGTTCTACACAATGCAAATTTCCAATCATAGGCTACAACTGATGAAAGGTATTTTGTGTCATTGTGAATATATCAGCTCAATATATCAGCTTTCCATATTCAAAATGACTGCCAAATTTTGGGGTCTATTTATAGCAATCCAAGGTTATCAGATTGTTTTGTTTTTCCGTTTTTTCATGGGAATTTTCAAATCTAGGAGCTTTTCCTTTGCACTACCGCTATGCCACTAAAAGTTTGAGGGCACCTGACCATCACACTTAGACTAAGGGACACTAATCTGATATTAAAATACGCTATGTGGCCAGAATTGGGTAGTCAACCTTCCCAGTGATGGAATTCAGGTGTTACCAGTGAAGGGTACTATTAATGCTACAGCATACAAAGACATCCAGCCTTGTGGTCACAGTTTGGTGAAGACCCTTTTCAGTTCCACCATGACTGTCTCCTGTGTACAAGGCCAACTCCATAAAGACACGGTGTGACCAGCTTGGTGTGGAGGAACTCGAGTGTCCTGCACAGAGCCCTGACCTCAACCCTACTGAACACCTATGGGATCAGTTGAAACAGCGGTTATGAGCCAGGTCTACTCATCCAGCATGAGAACCTGACCTCACGAATGGTCACAAATTCCTCCAAATGTTGTGGAAAGCCTTTTTGGAAGAGCAGAGGATCGTATAGCCCCAAAAAGAGGCCAACTCCATATTAAAGGTCATGGTCAGGTGTCCACAAACTCTTGGTGATATAATGCACTACTTCCTGCTTTTCATTATTTGTTTTACACTTCAAATAATATTGAAACTTTCAAGCTTTGCCAAACTTTATAAATCAGAGGAAAAAACAGGCATAACAATGAAAATTTAACAAATAAAAATCATTAGCGCCAACTCTCTTTGTAAATAGGCCTCACAGTCTTTTATTGGTACACTATCGCAGCATATATATCACACAGGGTGCTTGAAACAACAGAGTAGTCAGAATAAGACTTGTTGTTGTAAGTTGTGGCATGTGACAGTAAGGACAGGGTTTAATACATAACATAGGCCGAGGAACCGCTACGCACCTCTCTCGCTCTCTCTCTCAAGCTACGCCGGCACTCTTCCTCCGCTTGCTTTCTTACGCTGCCTCTCAGCCTGGTTACTGAATTACTGAGGGAAAGATTTCCTTGTTGAACAGGACGGAGAGAGAGAAAAACTGGGATCCCGACCCTTCCCTCAGTGGCCCCATCGCACATTGTGGCGGACAGAACCCAGAAAGAGTCCAAGGAGCCGGGGGGCGCTCCAGAGCCATCGCTGATAAGTAGGTGGATGAGGTTTTACCACATTGTTGATTGACGCTTTTCTGCTGTTTGACTAATAATGTGAGCGGGACATGCTGTGAGCTGCCACTAACCATATCCAATGTTTGCTACATGGCATCTTTGGCTATACTGAACGATGATCTTGTGGCCGCGTGTTTCATTGCCGGACATGCGATGAGACTGATGTTCTTCATGCAGAACAGGGATCCTGCGTTTGGAGGAAATAAAAGAAAGACAAAGGAAAAGAAAGAGTGAGATACTACAAAGGTAGATGGGAGGAAATGATCAGTGGGGTGTGATCATCTCAAGCTTGGCTTGCAGTAGTCTGGTGGTGTTATCATAAATACGTAAATGACAATAGGCAAGAGTGAAGGTGTTCATAGATGTAGGAGAGTGATCAACTGATGGCTTTGATTGCTAATACTGTCAAAAACTGGAATGCATGGCCAGGGAAGAGAGGTCAAGGAGGAGGGCAGAGAGACATAGTCCAGGGAAAGAGACAGGGAGGCATAGGCCATAGAAGGGAGAAAGGGGGCCATGGATCATAGGGAAAGAGAACAGGACAAGCCAGAGAAAGAGGGATGAAGAGGCATAGACCAGAGAGAAGAAGGGAAGAAAGAGGCACGGGCCATGGAGAAAGGAATACAAGGAGAGGGTAGAAATGTATTTTAAGCTCCATGTTGCTGACCTCTTGGCTGCAGGTACAAGGCAGTCGGTGCACAGACTAGACACTGTGATGGATAACCTGGGGATGATGTATTAATTTGCATGGTCTGGAAAATGTTCTCTAGGTGATGAAGATATTGAACTGCCGGCTGTCACATATTCATAGGACAACGTTTGTTTTTTATTGTTTGTATTTCTAAGTGTATATTTTATTATGGAGCATGTAAGGAAGAAGTCTGGTCTTTGTAAAGTGGACCTGTCCGTTATTTTAAGTGCTGCCTTAAAGCAGATGCCGCACTCTGCCTGCTATGATGTTTTGTTAGCCAGAAGACCCTCCTCTGTGTGCCTGTTCAAAACCGGGAGGGGGGGGTGGCTTAGTCTTAGGTCGGGTATGTTTGGACCCTTATTCCTATTTTAGAAAGGTATATGCCGAAATGCATGCAGAATGGCAACGGCTATAGAGGACTACAAAACCCAGCAAAAGCACATTATACAGCACAATGCAGAATACCGCCAGCTATAGAGGAATACAACAAATCCCAGCAATAGTACATTATAGCTGGCGGCATTCTGCATTGCGCTGAATAATGTATTATTGCTGGGTTTTGTAGTCCTCTATAGGTGGCGGCATTCTGCATTGCGCTGAATAATGTACTATTGCTGTTTTGTAGTCCTCTATAGCTGGTGGTATTTAGCATTGTACCACTTTATAATGTACTATTGCTGGAATTTGTTGTATTCTTCTACAGCTGGTGGTATTCTGCATTGCGCTGTATAATGTATTATTGCTGGGACTTGTAGTCCTCTATACAGCGCAATGCAGAATATCACCAGCTATAGAGAAGTACAACAAAATATTATCATAAATACGTAAATGACAATAGGCAAGAGTGAAGGTGTTCATAGATGTAGGAGAGTGATCAACTGATGGCTTTGATTGCTAATACTGTCAAAAACTGGAATGCATGGCCAGGGAAGAGAGGTCAAGGAGGAGGGCAGAGAGACATAGTCCAGGGAAAGAGACAGGGAGGCATAGGCCATAGAAGGGAGAAAGGGGGCCATGGATCATAGGGAAAGAGAACAGGACAAGCCAGAGAAAGAGGGATGAAGAGGCATAGACCAGAGAGAAGAAGGGAAGAAAGAGGCACGGGCCATGGAGAAAGGAATACAAGGAGAGGGTAGAAATTTATTTTAAGCTCCATGTTGCTGACCTCTTGGCTGCAGGTACAAGGCAGTCGGTGCACAGACTAGACACTGTGATGGATAACCTGGGGATGATGTATTAATTTGCATGGTCTGGAAAATGTTCTCTAGGTGATGAAGATATTGAACTGCCGGCTGTCACATATTCATAGGACAACGTTTGTTTTTTATTGTTTGTATTTCTAAGTGTATATTTTATTATGGAGCATGTAAGGAAGAAGTCTGGTCTTTGTAAAGTGGACCTGTCCGTTATTTTAAGTGCTGCCTTAAAGCAGATGCCGCACTCTGCCTGCTATGATGTTTTGTTAGCCAGAAGACCCTCCTCTGTGTGCCTGTTCAAAACCGGGAGGGGGGGGTGGCTTAGTCTTAGGTCGGGTATGTTTGGACCCTTATTCCTATTTTAGAAAGGTATATGCCGAACTTAATAGCCCCACCCTTCCTTAATGATACCTGACTGTTTGTGTGGAGTAGGCTAAAGTTTTAAACATGCCTCTAGAATAACCGTTTTGGAACAAGAGGTCGTTGAAGCTTAGATGACCAGACGCAATTTAGTAGCGTACGTATGAACTGGTTCATATGATGAACAAATTGCCTTCCTGTGCCATTTTTACACATTCCCTGCAGAGATTTCTTATAAGCTGAAAAATTGACAAAAAGTATTTTTCTTCTTCTTCTTCTATTTCAATAATGATACAATTGTAGATGGGGGTCATTGTGTTATAAGCAGATCTTGTCTATTAGTGGAAAGTCCGCTTTGAGAAAAGTATTTCTTTCTGGGTGCACATCCAGCCTAAAAGAAACACTGTTGCAGCTCTAACTGACATGATTTTGTTTATAAACAAAGACATGTGATCAACATGTCATTACTGACATGCTGATCACATGATCATGGACCACTTTGAATGTGAGTGACAACCATGTCTCAAAGCAAGGAGCCGCAGAACTATGGGCTCCCCTGAAATAGAAACGGAGTTCCCTCTGTGCAGGGGAACGTTCACCTACTGATGTTAGATAGACGAGGTGAATAAGGTCCCTTAGTGCCACATCATTGCTGTCAGTGGGAGGCATAGTGCCCCATAATTGGTATCGGTGGGAGGAATAGTGCCCCATCATTGGTGTCAATGGAAGGAATAGTCCCCGTCATTGGTATCAGTGGGAGGAATAGTGTCCCATCATTGGTGTCAGTGGGGGGAATAGTGCCCCATCATTGGTGTCAGTGGGAGGAATAGAGCCCCATCATTGGTGTCAGTGGGAGGAATAATGCCCCATCATTGGTGTCAGTGGGAGGAATAGTGCCATATCGTTGGCATCAGTGGGAGGAATAGTGCCACATCGTTGGCATCAGTGGGAGGAATAGTGCCCCATCATTGGTGTCAGTGGAAGGAATAGTGCCCCATCATTGGTGTCAGTGGAAGGAATAGTGCCCCATCATTGGTATCAGTGGGAGGAATAGTGCCCCATCATTGGTATCAGTGGGAGGAATAGGTTCCCATCATTGGTGTCAGTGGAGGAATAGTGCCCCATCATTGGTGTCAGTGGGGGGAATTGTGCCCCATCATTGGTGTCAGTGGGAGGAATAGAGCCCCATCATTGGTGTCAGTGGGAGGAATAATGCCCCATCATTGGTGTCAGTGGGAGGAATAGTGCCATATCGTTGGCATAAGTGGGAGGAATAGTGCCACATCGTTGGCATCAGTGGGGGGAATAGTGCCCCATCATTGGTGTCAGTGGGGGGAATAGTGCCCCATCATTGGTGTCAGTGGGGGGAATAGTGCCCCATCATTGGTGTCAGTGGGGGGAATAGTGCCCCATCATTGGTGTCAGTGGGGGGAATAGTGCCCCATCATTGGTGTCAGTGGGGGGAATAGTGCCCCATCATTGGTGTCAGTGGGGGGAATAGTGCCCCATCATTGGTGTCAGTGGGGGGAATAGTGCCCCATCATTGGTGTCAGTGGGAGGAATAGTGCCCCATCATTGGTATCAGTGGGAGGAATAGTGCCACATCATTGGTGTCAGTGGGGGAATAGTGCCCCATCATTGGAGTCAGTAGGAGGAATAGTGTCCCGCCATTGGTGTCAGTGGGGGGAATAGTGCCCCATCATTGGTGTCAGTGGGAGGAATAGTGCCCCATCATTGGTGTCAGTGGGAGGAATAGTGCCCCATCATTGGTGTCAGTGGGAGGAATAGAGCCCCATCAGTGGAGTCAGTGGGAGGAATAGTGCCCCATCATTGGTGTCAGTGGGGGGAATAGTGCCCCATCATTGGTGTCAGTGGGAGGAATAGTGTCCTGCCATTGGAGTCAGTGGGAGGAATAGTGCCCCATTGCTCAGGTGCAGAGAACTAAATCTTGTTTGCCATGGCTGTATTACACTTGCTTTTGGCCGGAGGGACCTGCTGGTGGTTGTAGTTTTCCAGCCATCAGCATTCTTTAGCTTACTTAATCCTAAATGTTAAAGCTTTAGCTGTAATAGGAATCCTGAACAGAATGTAAATCGCAGACAACCTCAACCTGAATTACACAAAACCTTTGAATCACGCTTCCCCTGCTGAATCCTCTTTTGATAGAAGGAAATATATTCCCTTTCAGTCTCTGTCACGTTACATTGCGCGGCTGCAATGTTGTGACACTTTGTTGACACGGCGTTGTAGCTGTGACTCAGGAGAGGTGAAAGGAGACTCTGTGAGTAATTGCCAGAGATGGATTTAATTGGATTCACATGACAGATTAAATGAATTGGAGAACATTTTCCTCTGCTGAACAATGAGCAGTGATGCTTTTGTGCCGCTGCTCGTGTGAAGGAAAACTGACAGTTCATATTGCAGAAACAGAATTGCCAGCACCCCCTCCATGTGTTTGCTGGTCAGAAGACGGCGGTCACAGCATGGCGGTGCTGCTTCTGTAGCTATCAGTGTTCCAATTTCTGGGTAAATTCCGCAGCTACATGAGTGTTTTTTTAACTATTTTTTGCAGGGACCCTCAAACTTTCTAAATAAAGGGCCCTTAGGTGGTCCGGACTGTGGCCTGTAGGAGTAGAAAATGCACCAGCGTCAGTGAGGGTAAACAATCCCTCAGGGTAGGGGCGCAGGAGCAGTAAAAATGTTCCTAGTGTCTGTGGATGGTAGAGGAAGA